GGTACACACGTGTGAGCACTCGAGGGGAGAGGAAGCGTGCAGGGTGCAAGAGCAGGGGAAAGAGCAAGCAAAGAGAAGGCTGCCTTTGTGAAGGGAGGGACAGCTGCACTGGGGCCCAGAGGGGAATACTCAGTCCTCTCTTCTCTGTGCGCACAGAAGGGCCAAGAAGAGAGCAGAGGAAGAAAGGCCCAGATGGTGGGAGGGCTGGCGAGGAGAAGGGGTAGAGGAGACAGCAGGGGCTGCGGGCCGGAGGACAGTGAGCGCTCCTCCCCTCTCCCCACAAAGACTCACTGAGCCCCGCTATGGGGCAGGCACTGTCCTCGGCTCAGGGACACTGGAGGGGACAGAAGTCCATCCGTCCCTGGAGCTGGCAGTTTAGAAGGGAGCCAGTCACGAGTACGTGGGTGGAAGGCACAGCTGCTGGTGGAAAGGGCCAAGGATGCCAGAGGGAGCAAGCATGAGGGTGGGGAGCGGTAACTCAGCGTGGGAGGCGGACAATAAACATGCAAGTGTGTGTTGGGCAGCATCAAGGGCTCTGCAGGACAAGAAGGCGAATGAGGAGGTAGAGAGGCCACTGGGGTGGTCAAGGAAGGCTCCCCTGAGGTGACACTGGCTGGCACACGGACCCGAGGACAGGGCATGAGCAGGCTTTGCACATGACACAGGCAGGATCCAGAGGAGGGAGAGTAAGCGTGACGGCCCCCAGGTGGGGGTGCCGCACGGCACAGGCGGTATGCGGTGACAAGCAGGAGCCTCTGTGGCTGGAGTGGACTGGAGGGAGGACAACATTCACATTCTGGGGACAGACACTCTCTTGCTCTTGCTGAACACGAACGAGGAGGCATGGGACAAGAAGTGCCGGCATTGCCTTGGGAACTTGTGCTACCCCTGGACATTTATCTTCCCGAGGGTGTTCATAGCTGAGGCCTCCAGTTTTGTGGCGAAACTATCATACTCTTAAACCAAGGGGTGTGTGACTCTGCCTAAAGCTTGCCTGTACCTTTAATGCTTAGGGATCAAAAACTGCTATAGCTTGTCAAAACCAGTTACAGCCAGGGTTTCTGTCACATGGTCCACGGGCCACCAGCATGACACATCCTCAGGGGCAGTAGGCACAGCTGGAAAGTGCCCTGACTCCTGTGCCATCAGAATCTGAATGTCCCTTCCTCAGAGCCTCAGGTACAGAGCCTGGGCCACCCTGTGTGTGTGACTGGGTGTGTGACTTCCAGTCCCCACCTCCTCACCCACGCCCGGTGAGGTGGGATGGGGTGGAGTGGGTCAGAGGCGACACCCACTGTCGGTTCCATCTGCACCTCACCGACCACTGAGGGGGCAGCAGGAGCTGCCACACTCGGCTCCACGTGTGCAACTCTGTGTGGTCACCAGAACCCTGGCCCAAGGCTGTCTGCTTGGTGCAGTGATACCTGTGGGAATCACCATCATCGTGCCAGTCACCGCTGGGACACATTTAATCTTTGCACAACCCTATGAGCTAAGAGACCTTATCTGTGATGGGGGTGACCAAGATGGAGACGTGAAGCCAGCTAAGCCCTCACAGCCAGAAAGTGGCACAGCCCAGGCTCGAGCTCAGTTAAGGCCCTGGCAAGAGCAGGGAGCAGTCGGTCTCCTTCTGAGCCCTGCACAACTCCGACTGTGGGTCCACGCAGCGCAGTCAGGGCAGCAGTGGGCTCACCAGCTGCTGAAATGTGCCAAGGGTGGCTAAGTGAGTTTTATAAAACCCGAGGATGTCATTTATCCCCCCAAGGGTCCTCAAAGTTACAGGAAGCCAGACCCAGAAATATCCATTAACAAATTGCTGTTTATCCTGCTTACACTCGGTGCCTCTCCCTTCATCCTTTGTCAATCTCTATTGCAAACATGGGTTTCGCAAAGCAAGATGACTGCAAAAATGAAACTGCTAATCTCCTCAAAAGTTGCAGGGTTTTGTGAAATTAATTAAAGAGATGCTGGAGGACACCTCAAAACACATGCAAATCCTCTGGCAAATAATAATCCGGTGTCAGAGATAAGTGAAGAGAGGCTATTGAAAGGGATGCAGAAGGTAACAAGTGCCTCACGGGGGAGGTTCGGATGTCAAGAAGCACAGATGGGCCAGGAAAGAAGAATGATCAATTCATCAAATACTTTGGCAAGGATGCCACAGGTTTATAGCGACGATGGCAGTGAAAGCAAGGGTAACCCACCATTACCAGTGCGCTGTCACCTGAATGTATTGGACAGATTACACCCCTCCCAGCTGACACACCGTCAACTCACCTCCCTCCACAATCAACCCTTAGCTGCAATTAGAACCCAACCCAAGTTAAGTATTGTGGGACCTAATGTAAAGCGATTTTCAAAATGTTGTAGTTTCACTTTTCAAGACAAAATGGCTAACTGATACATTTTGAAAGGCGTTATTTGTTGAATCAATGGTCAGTGTAAGCGACACCTTTCTGGTACCAGTCTCCCTCAGTTCAGGCAACCACCTGTATACAGAGTGGGAAAAAGTACAGGTGGCTGACATCAATTACTGTGGCTGGGACTTTAATTTTCCCTCAGTGTCCATTTTCTTCTGCTCTCAAAGTAAAATCATGTCAGCTGGGAAAATGACCACCAGGGTAATGGCCACATTTCCCAGGATTCTTTGCAGCCACATGTGGCCGTGTGACTTGTTTCTCACCAATGGGAAGTACAGAGAAATAGAGTCTGAGTCTTGGACCAATTCATGAGGCTGGGCCCCCAAGGTAGCATGGAATTTTAATTGAGAGGAACAAAGAGCAGATATCTTGAGTCTCACACAGCCAAATTTAAATCCTGTGTGATCAACTTCAATAGAGGCCCACAATGGTTACAGGCATACTTCTGGTGTATGTGAAAAAGCAGACTGTTCGTCATCACTGAAAGCTCTAAAAGGTTTGCTATTGCTGATATAGGGTCTAACACAGCTTAAGACTGCAAGAACAAATGACTTTCTGTCCTTGGGGGATTGAAAATTCATTATAAAACCTAATATGGGTTGTACCAAATCAATCTAAGAGATTCTAAATTCATAATAGTTTTTCATGTCATTTCCTCAGTCAACACTGATCAGTATAGACACTGTCATGCAATTAAAATATTTTCACTTTAAATAGAGACTTAACATGAAACTCAAATTGGAGCTTCCTAGCTGCCAGGGTAAAGAGGGAAAGCATAAAAGGTTTATAATTCTTGTTACTTAATAACCACGAGCAAGCACATCAGTTCATCAGGGCACATGGATGTTTCTAGGCTCCTGAGTTCTAAAAATTCTAGAATGCCCCTTGAACAGAGAGATGTTCTAAGTACAATGAATAAAATTCTCAATGACAATTTGATAGAAAGCATAAATGTTCGGTATGGATGGCTATTTACGTCCGATACTGTTCTGGCTTCACTGAGGGGAAAATTATTAAGCACAGCTGGGCAAAAGCAGTTCGCCCAGAAGCTTTTTGGTGATTTGTGTCAATTCAAGGATAAAGTCTGGGAAACCAATTTTATTCTTGAGGTCCTTCCTTTATTTCTGTCTCACCTGTGTGACTGTGAAACACTAGGACCCCAGGCAGCGCCCCCCAAATGTCACAAAATGTGCACATTCCCATGCCCCCTCCACACCCTGGCATCCTGGTCTCTGTGCTCATCTCGCCTTGGGCTCCTCCTTCACAGCCCTGGCCAAACTGCTCCAAGGGTGTGGCCGCCCTGGCCACCAGTCCTGGAGGGGCTGGGACGGGCTCACATTTTAGGGCCCTTCCAGGAGGTAAAGGAGGTGCGTGAGAGCCTCTCCTGCCCCAGGCATATTTTCTTTGTCCCACAGCATGAATTTTAAAAAACTTGAGCTTTGCCAACATTTAAAAAAACTCGGGATATTTCAGCTAGGATTTTAAATGTAAACACAACATGAAGGTCAACAACTCCGGCACACAGAGGTCATTCAGGACCTGAGTAGCACATGCCTTCGTCAGGAAGGGCTCGCGCCTCCGCTGTGTCCCCGCCTGACCTGCGTCCACCGGCGAGGCCCAGGCCCTCCCAGCCACCTGTCGACACACCTTGTTGTGCATGGCGGTCGGACCGCAGGCACCTGCGCAGGGCGCCAGGCCCACTTTGGAGGCGATTATACCAGCCCGCCCGCTCCCTTCCCGAGGGCCTCACCGCCCACGATGGGAGTCTGACGGGACCTCGAGGGCAGCAGGCTCAGCGGAAGGAGGCGGCTCCTCCCACCCCAGCAACACCTTGTTACGTGGATGTAGCGTCTCAGGTGGTTACACTTGAGCCTCAGTATCTGGTTTCATAGGCGCCTCAGCTCGGCCCAAGGTGGGGACGATTTTTTTTTAAAATTAAAGCAATTTGAATTAATTGAGTTGGAGGACTATGCAATGGTATTGGAGTAAAGAGACTCTGCTGTAAGTGCACGTCTAGCTCAGCAGCCCACCCAGCAGAGGAACCACGGGAACACGCCCCAGTGCCCCTGCAGGGTGACAAACAGGAAGCCTGGCAGCACTGCATTAAGGTTGGCACGGACAAGGAGCGGCACTGCCACGGTGGGGCTTGCACGCCATCGCCTAGGACAGGGCCCCAGTCTGAGCCAGTGAAACAGCTCCCCAGGGCCAGTAAGTTAGCAGAAGACACAAACCCATGAGCGGCTACTCTGCGGTCTCCCTATAACCTCATCTGTGTTTAAATAGACTCCTCTTTTTCGGAAGGCAAGCTTCTTTGAAAAGCTCACTTTGTATCCCTACCGCAGACAAATCTGTATTCTCCTGATCTCTACACATAGAAACAAAAAGGGCTGGGGCACAGCTCAGCAGTACTGCGCCTGCTCAGTGTGTGAGGCTCCAAGTTCGATCCCCAGCAGCACAAGAAAAGAGGACGATCCAACTCTGAAAGGAAAGCTGTTCTGTGCGTGATCCAGGATCATACTGGGGACGGCCTGAGCTGCTCGGGGAGCTCGGAGAGGTCGTCTGCCCCTCCCGGACACTCACCTGTCCTGTAGCCGGTGCTGTTGAGGTACACGGCGAAGGTGCGGCTCTCGTGCTGCGCCTGCCAGGAGGGCGAGGAGCAGTTCTCGTTGTTGGTGTACGTGTTGTGGTTGTGGACGTACTTGCCCGTCAGGATGGAGGAGCGCGAGGGGCAGCACATGGGCGTGGTCACGAAGGCGTTGACGAAGTGGGCCCCGCCCTGCTCCATGATGCGCCGCGTCTTGTTCATCACCTGCATGGAGCCTGCAAGGACACGGGCAGGTGAGGCGGGCCCTCGATTCTCACCGTGCCCTCGGCAGGCTTATCAGGACCCCTAGCCGGGGGTGATGGGGGTGCCCATTCCTCTCGACATTCCTGCCGGTGTAGGTAAAAACCTGTTTCCAAATGACCTGAGCCTGGAATCAAGCTGTTTTACAATATAAACAGCACGTCTCTTTTTTTCAGGGCTTTAATATACACCGGTAGTTTTGGAAAGCAACCACCTTGTAATGGGAGGGAAGATTACACTTTGTTTTGTTTGGAATTTTCTCAAGAATCTGGTCAGGGCTGTCACCTGGGACTGCGCTGTCCCAGTCCTTTTCAGCTGAAATGTTCTGCACCGGCCGCACCACCACCTTGGCCCGCTCGGAACCCCCTCACCCAAGCCTAATCCCCCCGGGGTCACCCCGGCTCCCACTCCTCTGGGCTCTCCTCCCCTGCCGCACCGGTTATTACGACCTAATTATATACCCCAGGTAGCTGTTTCCTTCATGCCTGTTCTTGTTTCCCAGGGAAGCTGGAGGTAGGTGAGGCACTTAAGAAGGAAGGACATAAAGGGGTGCAGGAGCCCCACTGTGTGCAGGCGGCAGGGCCCACGGGGGCACAGCCCGGGTGCTTTGCTGACTGCTGCATGGTGGCACTGCCAGTGTGTGCCGCGCAGGAGGTGCACAGGCACGTGTGACTGAGTGCAAACGCTGCAATCTAGTGAAATGTTGCACAGAAATCTTCCCTCTCCCTTCCAGGGCCAGCCCGGGTTTCCCCCTTTTCCTTGCAGCTCTATGACCACGGAACCTGTCAACACGACCTTATTTAGAAAGAAGCTCTGTAGATACAGTTAAGCTACAGATTTCGAGGAGATTGATCTGGTTATGTGGTTGGGCCCTAAATACCAAACGTCCTCACAGACTGGAGGCCAAGGCCTGTGAAGGGGCGGGGGCAGAGACTGAGTGAGGCGCCTAGAAACCCAGGAGCTGTGACAGCTGGACGATGCAGGGAGGACCCTCCCCTGGGGCGCTGGGAGGAAGCACAGCCCTACTGGCACCTTGACTTTGGACTTCTGGCCCCCAGCACTGGGGTGAAGTTCTCTGTGAAGCCACCCAGGGCTCAGTGATTTGTTGGGCCACTGCAGGAAACCCAGGCAGGATCTACCAGCCTGACAGCCACAGCGCGACCCCATCACCTAGCAACTCCTTAGCAACAAGACACCGAAGGAGCCCGCCTCAGTCTCCCTCAGGGCAGAGAATGGGAGATTTATAGGGCTCTTTCACCCAGTCTCTGCTACACAGGGAAGGAAACAGCCAGAGCTGCCCTGGGGCGAACAGATCATCTCTCTTCATATCTCCTTGAGCACAACTATCCAGCAGCTTCCTCTTCACTCAGAGTGAGGCCAGAGTCCCTCCCCGTGTCCCCACTTCCTGTCCCGCCCCCAACTTCATCATGCTCACCTGTTGGCCTTCGCAGCCCTCCTGTCTCCCCGTTGCCCCATGCTCATCCCTGCCCGGGGCCTCTACATTCGCCACTGTCCGGCCCTCTTCCTGAGACTTGCTTTGGCTGGTAGCACTCATCATTCACGAAAAGCCCAAGTCCCCTCCACAGTGGGCCAGCTGACCTTCCGAGAGGAGGAGGGCCACTGGTTCGTGTCTATCACAGCCCAATCTCTTCTGCGACCACCTCCAGCACAAGTGCATGCCGGCCCCTCTTAACCAGCAGATGCTCCTCAGCAGAACCGGAAGGACAGCCCAAGGCTGGTAAGCCCTGCTGTACTTCCCTTGTAGGCTGTGCTGGCCACTCAAGGGGCCTCCCATCCAGCAGGAACCCTGCAGTTGTCTACCAGTCACAGCTGGGCCCCAGACAGTTCTCAGGAGGTCATGTGGCCTTGATGACAGACCTGAGGATTCCTGCCCAGTTCATGACACAAAGCCGGTCCCCTCGAGTGCATCCACGGGTGGCCTTGGCCAGGAGGTTCAGGGGCCACGTGGGTTTCAGGTCCCAGGTGCAGCCCCTCCTAGCACAGCTCCAGAACTCAGGAGCTGGGCCGCTTCCTTCACTATTGCACCCTCAACCCATCAATAAATACCTGCTGACTTCCCAAACAAACGCCTCTCACCCTACTGGGTTTCCATGTAATGCAGGAGCCCACGCTGGGCGTGGCCACAGATACACGAGTGGGTGTTAAGTGTTCTACACAGGGGACTTGTAAAAGTTGGCCTTTGCAGTAAACAGATCACGTGCTCTCGGGTTTGCCACACTCCCCAGCACGCCCTACAGTTTCACACCAACCAGGACCACGCTCAGTCCCTGCCAAGCCCCGGAGGGCTGGTGCCACAACTTCCTCATACAGCGAAGCAGCCGGGACCGGGAGGAGGGCAGTGTCACACGTCAGTCTCGCCGTCATTAGCTGAATGTTTCGTATCGCTCAGCTCTGTGGTCCATTTTCTAGAAGAGGGAACGGAGCTCAGGTTGTTGAGTGACTGGTTGCGCTGCATGGCCTGAGAACTCAGAACAAGGAGGAGGCAGGCACTGTGCTCCATGCGGATGAGATGGTCCAGGTTCACCATGCAGAAGCAGTGACCATGACCCAAGGAACTTTGAGAAGTCCCCGTGCTCTCAGCTGGGCTTCACTGAGGTCCAGGAGTCCTTGGTGACCCAGGGGTGTCTTCAGCTGGGCACTCAGTCCCAGCACTAGACACCAGGGATGGCGGTGGTGTGAAAAGGATTCCCTTTCCCATCCAGGTAAAGGGCCAGCTGCAGCCTGAGCACCAGGTAAGTGGCTGCATCTGCTTGGATGTCATTGCTTGGTTTAATTTCCTTCTATTTATGGCTCCTACCTTCTCCTTTAAAGAAGCGGAAATCTTTTTTTTTTGGTTTTGGTTTTGTTTTTTTAAAGGAAATTAGGGCCGGGGGATTTAGCTCAGTGGTGCCACCGCCTGCCTCACAAGTGCAGGGTCCTGAGTTTGATCCCTAGTAACGCAAAACAAAAACAAAAACTAAACAAAAAATAAAATTACACTGATATAACAGAGCCAACACAGCTCTGGTGGCCCACTGAATGGTGAAGTGGCCTGCGATGGAGCCAGACTCTGGCAGACACCACTAGTGGCAACCCAGGCCTGTCCACAGGTCACCTGGGTGCCCACCCAGTCAAGCTCTGGAATTCACGACCATCCCTTCCTGTCCTCTGGAAGACCCTCCTCTGTCCTTAGGGTTTTTTTAAGTACCAGGGATTGAACTCAGGACCCTGCGCTTGCGAGGCAGGTGCAGTGCCAGTGAGCTAAATCCCTGGCCCTGGTTTCTTAAGCAGTAACTGTGGCTACTCCTTGAGTTCCCATGTGGAACCTGTCAGTAGGGCCTGGGTCCCTCTTGGAAAAGGACATCCGAGATCAGACCTTGTCAGCTCCTCCCTGGGCAGGCGACTCTCTCTCCCCCACCCACACTCAGCCACAGGGGCCTCTCTGTCCCGGAGCCTGTGACTTGCTGTTCCTCCCACGGCAGTGTCCCCCTGCAGCCACGAAGCTGGCCCTGCCCCACCCTGTCCTTACTCATGGGCTCTCCTCCCTGTGCCACCTCCCTTGGCTACCATGTCCCAAATTTCACTCCCCTACCCTCAATCTTTCTTAACCCCTTCCTTGTTTTTATTTTCAACTCTGTACTCACTGCCCAACACACTTTTACTTATTCCTATATTTATCTTGTTTGATTTGTCCCTGCAGCCCTGGAACATCAGTGCTCTGAGGCCCAGGGTTACTGACCCTGCTCTACTTCGTGAGCCCCAGTGCCTGGAACAATGCCAGGCACACAGTAGGTGCTCAATAAATATTTCTTGCATGCACGAATCCTGGGCACTCTAGGCAAAATCAACTCCTTGCCTCTAGTTCCCAAGCCATGAGGGAAAGAAAGGTGCAGCTGATAGCCGCTCAGCATGGCACCGTCCCTGGATTGTAGGAAGGACACAAGCTGGCCCCTCACCTGCCCACCAGGCCTTCTCCAGAAATGCAGGCCGGTGCCACCTGGTGAAGAATGCTGGGGAGGAGGTAACCTGCATGCTGTGCAGACAGGAAGAAAAGAGGCTCTGGAGCTGCTTCTTTTTAGCCACTGAAGAGTGAACCTAGGGCCTCACATGTGCCAGGCAAACATTCTGCCACTGAGCTACATCCTGTCTCTTTTATTCTGAGACCAGGTCTTGCTAAATTGCCCCGGCTGGCTATTTTCCTGCCTCAGCCTCCTGAGTAGCCGAGGCGACAGGCATGCATTTCTTGTTTTTAATGGGCTCAAAACCCAGGTCTTAAAGCTCTTTGTCCTACTTCCTCCCCACATGGGAGGGGCCTCACTGCTGAGCCCTGGCCGGCAGCACCCTGTGTGTCCGCTGCAGGCGTGTTCCTGCTTTCGGCCGAGTCAGCCCGCGTGGAGCGCAGGTCCACAGTGTCCCGAGGGACAGCAGCATCTGTGCACAGGCAGCGTGCTGAGCCTCTCTTGGGAAACAGTGACCTGCTTTATCAGAAGGGCAAAACCACCAGGCGCTGTAAAGCCACATCTGTAACACAGAAACACGTGATCACGCCCCCGCCAGCTCCAGCCCTGATGTAAACACCAGCTCTCATGGCAGGGAGGGCCTGGCAGACACAGCCACGCAGAAATCGAAAGGCCAGTTTTCAGTACTTCAAACAAAGCCGTGCCAGCCAAGCCAAACTTACTTTATCCAACATAAATCTGGGGCCATGCAGACAAAAACAGGCCTGGTTTCTTTCCGTGACCAAACCTTCCCACCAGCCTGGGCCGGGGGTGAGGTCTCCCTGACACCTCTCTCTGACTCTGCCTACCAGGGGACCCCACCTACCTCACCCCTATCCATGGACTTAAACTCCAGGGCAGAAACCATGGCACTCGGCTGCCCGCACCGTTCGTGACTGCTTTTGGGGCCTCTCAGTGTGGCAACTATCTTATTCTTTGGTACTTTTAAGTGACTTGAAACAAACAAACAAACAAAC